CTTGGTGGCCTCTTGGGACGTCTTGGGGGTCTCTTGGCGATCCTGTGGTGCTCTTCGGGGTCTTGGGTGCCGCGGGGGGGGCCTCGTGGGGTCGCTTAGGGTCTCCTTGGGGGCCTCCAGGGGGCCTCTTGGGGGCCTCGTTGGGCCATCTTGGGGCATCTCGGGGCCTCCTGGGCTCTTCTTGGGGCCATCTTGGAGGAGATCGGTCAACGAAGGGGGTCACCCAATTCACGCCGCCCCCTCCCCCCCCCCTATGGGGCGACCACCATCGTAAAATCAATGATTTTCGTTTCCTCGCCGATGCCGTTTTGGACGCTCCAACTACCCGCGGCCCCACCCCCCGTCCAGGTCCAGGGGAGGGGGTAGGGGGAGGGGTAAACCCCTAAACCACCGACGCCCAGAGGGCTGGTGGGATTGGCCACGTAGTCCTCCAAGGAGCCCCCCCCCCCCCCCAAGATGCCAAAATGGATCCAAAACCTAAGGGAAATCAATGTTGTTTGCGTTCTCGCCTGTTCGCTTCCGATGCCCATTCGAGGCCCCAAGATGGTTCCAAGAGGGCCCAAGAGGGCACCAAGAGGGGCCCAAGATGGCCCCAATACTGCCCTAAGAGCGCTCAAGAGCGCCCCAAGAGCGTCCCAAGAGGGTCCAAGATGTGATTTTAGATGCTCCCGAGGGGGGCGCTAACTAGGGGACACCCATTCCTTTGATCGATCACCTCCAAGATGGCCCCAAGAGCGCCCCCAAGGCTCTCAAGAGCGCCCCAAGAGGACCTCCAGAGGCGCCCAGGAGGCCCCAAGAGGTCCCCAAGAGGCCCTCAAGAGGCTCCCTAGACCCCCAAGGGGCCTCAAGAGGATCCCCGAGGCATCCAAGAATCCCCCAGGCGCTCCAAGAGGACCCCAAAACAACTTCCAAGGGACATCCTAGGAGGTTCTTGTGCACGTCATTGCTATTGATCCTTCTCATCTGTCTCATCCTCCTCCTCCTCCTCCTCCTCCCCCTTGTCGGCCTACTCCTCCTCCTTCTCCTCCACTTTATCAGCCTCATCCTCCTCCTCATCCTCCTCCTCCTTTCCTCTTCTCTTCCTCCCCCTCCTCATCATCCTCCTCCTCCTATCCCTCCTCCTCATCATCCGCCGATTCCCCCATCCTCCCTCCTCCCTCCTCCATTGTTTCCCACCTGCTGCCCCTCCTCCCCCTCCTCCTCCCCGTCCTCCTCCGACTCCTCCTCCATCCTCGCCCTCTTGGGTAAGACGGGTCCCCCAACCCTTTGCTACTCTGCATGCTCCCTCACTTCCCTGATCACCGCAATTCGCTTGGGCATCGTTTTTGGATGTGCTGGTTGGGATACGCGAAGCGTCAAGACTTTCCTCTTGGTGAGCACTGTTTTTTTTTGCAACGAGATCCTCCACAATTTCCCAAGCTCTTTCGTCCGTCTTTTTATCGAACACATCTGGTGTCGCTGTTTTGTAATGGTATATATATTCGTCGCCCTCGCAAGCCTCGATGCTGCCGTTGAATATGTTGGCACATATCGCGCAGCAGCATGTCCCTGCAGCTCCTTTTGTGGATCTGCTTTCCTTATGTGCTTTTTCGTCCATGATACAACAATGCAATTTGCAACGCAACACATACAAATTACCGCGGCCATCTTGGAGGCGCATGCCGCTGGGAAAGCTAAACTTCGCGACGCCGAGTTCACAAAAAAACGCTCGAAATACATATTTCAGAAGGCCTCCTAACTTGTGACGGATGGACGTCAGCATGTCATACTCCAATATAATTGCTGGAAACCACCCGAAATCTTGGGATCTGAACCAGCTTGGCAACTCGCATATTGTCCAGTATCCCGCGAGATACTTATTAACAGAATCTGGGCGAAGCTGATTGCCCGCGGTGGTCTCGTCTGACCAGAATGCAATGCTGGCAACGCTAGTACCTACCGTGCTATCCCTTAACAGTTGGGCGAAATCTGGGCAACGTGACGTAAGCCAAACTAGAAGAGCGAATGGGTTTATCAACTGAATCGGCACAAATGTGCCGTCATGGAGCTCAACCTGGATACGCTCGTACAAACCGCCGTAGTTTGTGGTGACACCGTTAATATATTTAACCAGTTGCGGCCGCAAATCCTGGGGATGGTCCAAATCGTCCTCATCTTTGGCGGCGGCAACCGCGCGATTTACTGCTGCGAGCGACGTTGAAATGCCACATCTAGCTAATAAATTAGGGCGCTTCCTCGGCGGCTCCATCCCGCCAGAACCGAAACACCTACAGAAACGCCAGAACCGAAACACCTACAGAAAACACATCGTGGCGAAGGACCCAATAATATGATGCTAAAGGTAACGTAACTGTACGCATCAAACCCCACGCGGCGGCACGATCCTCGCGAGAGGTGCGTCGAACTGAGCGGGGTGGGGCGGGGGGCGTGTGGAGACAGGGAGGGGGGAGAAACGCAGGCATGTGGAGTATGGGCCAATGCGGCCTTCGGCGGAACGCACCGCGGGGCCTGCGGCGGGGCGGGGCGGAGGGAGGGGCGTTTAAAACCGCGCTGGATTGTTGGGCACGCGAGGGCGGGACAAGAAGGACATGTAAAGCGAGAAAGGGCACGGCATCATCACTGTTTCCCTCATTTCATTTCACCCCTTTCCACCGCCGCTCCCCGTTGGATCGAACCGCCGACGCTTGGCACGTGGGCAGGGCTCAAGAAGCTCAAAAGATACAAAAAGATACAAAAAGATAGAAAACGATATGTTGCACATCGCAAACCGCTGAGAAAAAACAAAAAAGATAGCGGATGATGTAACCCGAGATATAATATGATATGAGACACCACCCGCAACTAGTTAGCATCGTCACTCAAAGTGACTTATAACCGTCGTAACAGCAAAATCCGTGAAGTACAGTTGGCTCCGGGCATCCAAAATGTGGCCCGGGAATGGAGTTCTGGGAACTCGAAGAGCACGAAGTGGCCTACAGTTGGCTCCGGCCACTCCAAATGTAGCCCGGGAATGGAGTTTTGGGAAATCGAAGAGCACGAAGTGTGTACCTGTTGACGAAAAACAAGCCCGGCTCTGTTCCCAGTTCTCCAGAATGTGGCCCGGGAATGGAGTTCTGGGAGGTCGAAGAGCACGAAGTGCGGTAAAAAAACGCAATGAACGTAAATTTTTGGCGTTCCGCGCGGATCTTTTGCATCCGCGCGGGGCCCCCCCGACGGCGCTTCCGGCGCCGCTTTGACGCGCTCCGCGCGCCAGTGAGGGGGTCCATCGCGGATCCACGGAGTCCGCGTGGAGCGCCAACAGCTTGTGTTTCTGTGTGTGTTTTTCCCCCCCTTCTGCAGAAAGCTCGGGGAGACCCTCTGGCAGCGCCCGAGGTGGGACTGGCCGACCTGCTGCTGGAGTACGAGCGGGACTGCCTGGCCATGAGGATGGCCCTCTCGGGGGACGAGGCCCAGGAGGTGTGGCGGTCGGGCGGGGTGCGTGCGGAAAGCACCCTGGGATCCGGGATCTTGGCGCTGCCATTTGTCCACGACGGGCATTTTCGCTCAATTTCTGGCCCCGGCACCCTCACAGGTCGATCCTTCGATCCGGCTCGGAGGATGGGGCAGAAACGTGCGGTCCGGGGCTCAAGGCGTGTTTTTTTGCGATGCTGCAAGTGTTTCACAGCGTCGGATCTCAGGGAATCCGGGGGCGGCAAAGAAGGGGGTGATGACTAGGGGGGCCATGATCTCTCCCCAGATCTCATGGCGCCTTTTCCTATATCTCGATCCGTCCCAGGCCCCCCCAGGGGCCGCGCACATGCCGCCGGCCATGATTTGCCCCCCCCCCTCCCCTCCCTTTGCCCCCCCCCCCCCCCCCCACCCCCCCCCTTTTGGACGCCCCCTTCCTGAACTCCCCCGAAGACTGGGGGCGAAGACCGACAGCAGTTCCTGTTCGTTTTGTGGAGGCCGCTCGCCGTTCGCTGTCGGCGCTGTCGCGGGCGCTGCACATTGCAAGGCGAAGATGCTGCGTGCCCGGCAGCCTCTGCCGTGCGCTTTGGAGGGCATCGGCTGTCTGGTCTCGCGCCCGCTTCTGTCCGCGTCCACTCTGGGCGTGCCACTCGGGGGCCCAGCCACCCCGCGCCTCGACAAAAATCAAGACGGCCAGCGTGTGCACACGCTTCGCATCCGGAGGCCAGCGTCGGGCTTGGAGACAGCCAGGCAGCGGACGGCGCGGGATGAGAACACCGCCCCACGGGGAACGGGCCGGGAAGTCCCGGGGCCCACGCGTCGGAGACGAAACGGAGGGCACGATGCCGGGGAAGATGGCCGCATGGAAATCCGACGAGGTATGCCCCTCCTCCTCCTCCTCCTCCTCCTCCTCCTCCTCCTCCTCCTCCTCCTCCTCCTTCGTCATCCTTCGTCATCCTTCGTCCTTCTCCTCCTCCTCCTCCTCATCTTCCTCTTCCTCCTCCTCCTCCTCCTCCTCCTCCTCCTCCTCCTCCTCCTCCTCCTCCTCCTCCTCCTCCTCCTCCTCCCCCCTCGACGGTCTTGGCTTCTCCCTTGCCTCGCACCCCGCGGCCCTTCTCTGATGGCCCTGACGGCTTGGGACGCCGCTGTCGAGGCAGAGCACGCGGGGACTGCGGAGCCCAACTTTCGGGCCGAACGAGAGTGGGGGGATAGGGAAAGAGGGGGGGGGTACGAAATCTGCCGCACGCAGCCGGTCTCGGCCCCGCCGCCGGGGCCCATTCCTCGATATGCATGGGCGCCTCCCGGCGCTGGGCTGACTCTCGACCCTCCCCCCCTTTGCCTGAGATCCCACGTTGCGAAACGATTGCAACATCGCAAAAAATCACGCCCAGAGCCCCGGACCGAATCGTTCTGCGTCATTTTTCTAGCAGGATCGCCCTGTGAAGGTCCCGGGGCCCGAAATTGAGCGAAAACGCCCGTCGCGAAAAAATGGCAACGCCAGGATCTCAGGGTTGTTCCCCCACGACCAGCCCACAGCCTCGCGGTCCAGAATCCTCGGCCGCGCCCCCGCAGTACAGTGGAAACCCATGCCAAGAAACACCCTGCCTGCCTCAAAGGCGCCCTGGGTTTCTTGGATTTCGATGGTTTTGCCATGGAAAGCGCGACGTTCCCACACAAGAAGCGACTACACGTAAGAGTGACTTTTCGCCGGAGTGACCTGTGGTGCGGGCTCATCGGGCTCCCCCCGATCGTCGAGCGCGATGCGATACAGGCGGCCCGCGCCCTTGGGTTTGGCTCCCTCGCGCCCCCAAAAGCTGCGCACAAAAGGTCACTCTTACCCAGGGTCACTCTTGCGCCTAGCCGAGAGACATCAGTGGACGTCTTGGGGTCTCAGGGTTGGGTTTCTTGTGGAAGGCTTCTTGCGGGCCAGCCTCCAGGGTAGTTGTCGCACATGCCGCCTCTTGGAGTGGGAGTCGTGGGCCAGAAGTAGGCGTGCGCGCCAGGAGGAAGAAAGGTGGACGAGGAGGAGAAGGAGGAGGAGGAGGAGGGGGAGGAGAGGGAGGTGGGGGAGGAGGGGGAGGGGAGGGTGAGGAGGAGAGGAGGAGGAGGAGGAGGAGGAGGAGGAGGCTTGAGGCCTCAGGGTTGGCTTGGGGCCTCAGGGTCGTGGTCGAGCTTCTGCGGTAGGCCGGCGCAGCTCTGCCCGGGCGCCCCCCGGTGCTTGCGGAGCGCGCCCGTGGGGTCGCGCGCCCGAGGGACCATGCGTCCGAGGCGTCCAGAACGCGAGGGCACGCTGGGCGCGAATTCGTGTGGAGCGGCCTCCTCCTCCTCCTCCTCCTCCTCCTCCTTTTCTCCTCCTCCTGACCCTCCTCTTCCTCCTCCTCCTCCCTCCTCCTTTCATCCTCCTCCTCCTCCTCCTCCTCCTCCTCCTTCCTCCTCCTCCTCCTCCTTCCTCCTCCTCCTCCTCTTCTCCTTCCTCCTCCTCCTCCTTCCTCCTCCTCCTCATTCTCCTCCTCCCTCCTCCTCTCTCCTCCTCCTCCTCCTCCCTCCTCCTCCTCCTCCTCCTCCTCCTCTCCTCCTCCTCCTCCTCCTCCCTCCTCCTCCTTCCTCCTCCTCCCTCCTCCTTCCTCCTTCCTCCTTCCTCCTCCTCCTTCCTCCTCTCCTTCTCCTCCTCCTCCTCTCTCCTTCTCCTCCTCCTCTCTCCTCCTCCTCCTCCTCCTCCTCCTCCTCTCCTCCTCCTCCTCCTCCTCCTCCTCCTCCTTCTCCTCCTCCTCCCTCCCCTCCTCCTGAGGGGGGGGGAGAAAGGTGCCCTCTTCGGTCCCTGAAGGCCCCCTTCTGGGGCCCTGAAGGCTCCCTCTGGGGCCCAAAAGGTCCGCGGGCCCTCAAGGCCACCCACTACTGCAACCCTCGCTGCCACCCACTTGCCGCCCCCCCCCCCGGCAATGCGCGCCCAAGGCACGGGCATGCGCTCGTCGCTGGTGAGGCGTGCACGGAGGCAGCCCAGAGCAGCAAGAAGTTACGATGATTCTATGTTTAAGTCGGGCGTGTTCCACTACAGGAGTGATATTCACAAAGAGTCAAACAATAGTCAGGGGGCAATTTGTTTAGTAGTATTTGTTTTGCCGTTTTGGGGCTTTTTGTTGCGTGCAAGTTTCAATTGTTCGTCCAGAATCTCCATGTCGGAGGACAGGCCTGACTTAATGCTATGTTTCAACATGATCAGGATTCCCGAGGCCTGCCTGTTCTTCCACACGGGCCCCAGAAGCGGGGGCCGCCAGAGACGCCGCCAATCGCATCGCCCCAGACATCGTCCTCGCCCTAGAGGGGCACAGAAACTAAAAGAAACATGGTTCTAGAAGCATCCACCTCGCTCTAGAAACGTCGTCCTAGAAACATCGTCCTCGCCCCAGAAACATCGCCCTCGCCCTGGAAACATCGTCCTAGCCATGAGAAAACCATGTTCTGGATCGCATCTTGGAGACCTCGTCCTCGCCCTAAAAGACGGGTCCTGAGAGGCACCGGCCCTGGACCCTTGGGACCTTCCCGCACCACCGGCTCCTCATCCCGAGTTGCTTCCTGACCGTCCCGGGGCCGTGGAGGGCCCCAGGACGCCCAAAGCGACGAAGAAGCACAGGGTGAGGTCAAAAGCGACGAAGGAAGCCAACAGCGACGAACAAAAGCGAAGCGACGAAAATCCCATGGTGAGGTCAAAAGTGGCTAAGGGAGCCAAGAGCGACGAACAAGAGCGACGAAGGAAGCGAGCAGCGACGAAAAAGCCCAAACCCAGGATTCTTTTCTTTCCCTCCGAGTGAAGGTTGGCGACTGGATTGAACGGGTGGCCAGGCAGATCACCTCGCAGGAGGGCGGCGTCCAGGATCCAGGCCTCCCAGATGGGTTTCGAGCGGATGGGGTCCGATGATCGCGCCGAGTCACCGATGCGTCGCCGGTGCGGCTGGATGCGGATCTCGATGTTCTCCATGCCGACGTCGCCGATGCATCGGCGACGCATCGGCGATACGGCGCGATCGTCCGACCTCATCTACGTCGACCCCCTGGGAGGCCTCCTACGGATCGAAGTAGAAACAGTGCACAGCCATAAATGTCTGGAAGTCCGCGGGGTCTATTGGATCGGCGCTGGTCCCCCCCTCCTTCCCCACAAGCTTATCCTTGATGGCCTGTTTTCCACCACCACCACCATCAGTTGGAGGGGGAGGGTCTCCTTCTCCTCCTCCACCACCTCCTCTTCCTCCTCGTCCTCGTCCTCGTCCTCGTCCTCCTCCTCCTCGTCCTCCACCTCCATCCCCCCTCCAACTTATGGTGGTGGTGGAAAACATGCCCAGCCACCCTGCTCTCCTAAGCGGCCATCCTGCCTTCCTGCGTCTCACGCTGTGGAGCAGCTCCGCTGTACTCACTGCAGCGTTTGGGGGGAGGCGTGCTGTTGCTCTGCGTTGTACACCGCACGTTCCTGGCGAAGGGCCCGACCATGTGCGGTTGAGTTGTGAGTAGTGCAGCCTAACGTCCTATGGGGAGGGAGGGAGGGAGGGAGGGAGGGAGGGAGGGGGGAGGGAGAGAGGAGGGAGGGAGGGAGGGAGGGAGGGAGGAGGGAGGGAGGGAGGGAGGGAGGGAGGGAGGGAGGGAGGGAGGGAGGGAGGGAGGGAGGGAGGGAGCCTAACGTCCTATGGGCCACGGCGCGTGCGACGGGGGTGCCAAAAGGGGCACGGTGAACGCGCGCGCGGGCGCTGCCAATGGGGCCTTCGGTGGAGCTCCCTATGGGGCCACGAAGCGCTCGAGGGGTGCGTTAAGGGGAGGAGGAGGGAGGAGGAGGGAGGAGGAGGGAGGAGGAGGAGGGAGGAGGAGGAAGGAGGAGTGAGGAGGGAGGTGGAGGAAGGAGGAGGAAGGAGGGGTGCGCCTACATTGGGGTTGGAACTGCATGCGAGCGCTGCCATTGGGTCGGTGGAACTACCTGTGGGGCCACGAAACGTGTGAGGTGTGTGCCGGCATGCACTGTGAACTCGCGTGCGGGCGCTGCCAATGGAGCCTTGGCTGGAGCTCCCTATGGGGCCACGAAGCGTATGAAGGGTGCGTCGACATGTGAGGTGGAACCTCACGCGGGAGCTGCCATTGGAGCCTTCGGTGGAGCTCCGTATGGGGACACGGAACGTGTGAGGGGCGCGCCGAAATCAAAGTGGAACCACATGCTCGAACCGCCTTTCCTGCGGTGGATGTCCTATGGGGTAATGCAGCTTGTGAGGGGTGCGCCGATACGGGGGGTGGAACCGCATGCGGGCGCTGCCACTGAAGCCTTCGGTGGAGCTTCCTATGGGGCCACGGAACGTCTGGGGGGTGCGCCGAAATGGGAAGTAGAACCGCGTGCAGGCGCTGCCACTAGGGCCTTCGGTGGAGCTCCCTATGGGGCCACGAAGCGTTTGAGGAGTGCGCCGAACCAGAGGGGAAACCGCATGCGGGCGCTGCCATTGGAGCCTTCGGTGGAGCTCCGTATGGGGCCACGGAACGTGTGAGGGGCGCGCCGAAATCAGAGTGGAGCCGCATGCGGGCGCTGCTAGTGGGGCCTTCGGTGGAGCTCCCTATGGGGCCCCGAAGCCTGTGAGGAGCGCGCCGAACTAGGGGGAGAACCATATGCGGGCGCTGCCATTGGAGCCTTCGGTGGAGCTCCGTATGGGGCCAGGGAACGTGTGAGGGGCGCGCCGAAATCAGAGTGGAGCCGCATGCGGGCGCTGCTACTGGGGCCTTCGGTCGAGCTTCCTATGGGGCCACGGAACGTTTGGGGGGTGCGCCGAAAATTGGGTTGGAACCGCATGCAGCCACTGTCATTGTCGCCTTCGGTGGGTGTACCTGTGGGGCCACGGAACGTCTGGGGGGTGCGCCGGCATTCACAGTGGACACTCATGCGGGCGCTGCCACTGAGGGCATGCGGAGGGCAGGGGCAGGGATGGGAGGAGGGAGGAGGCAGCGGGAGCTGGAGGAGGAAGGAGAACGCGGGGCGCTGTCTCTCAAAACGAGGACCCAACACCACAGGATGGTCTGGAAAAACCTCCCCGCAGAGTTCTGGGCGGGGCGCCTCCAACGCCGCCCGCAGCGCGCTCCGCGCGCAGGGGGAGGGCGTGCAGGGAGGGAAGCCCAGCGCCGACCCCAGAGACCCGCGCGGAGCTCCGAACATTGCTGTCTATGTAGTTTCTTGATCCTCTGCTTCCTCCTCCTTCTCCTCCTCTTCCTCCCCCGCCTCCCCCTCCTTCTCCTCCTCCTCCTCTGTGTCTTCCCCCTCCTCCTCGCCCTCCCCTTTCCCTTGTTCTTCATCCCCCTCCTCTTTTTCTTCGTTCCCCTCCTCCTCCCCCTCCTCCTCCTCCTCCTCCTCCGCCTCCTCCTAAGGAGGCCCTGCGGCCAGAGTCGCTGGCGCACCAGCTGCGCTCGGAGAACGAGCTGCTGCGGGAGGCCCTGCGCCAGTGACGCCCGAAGCGGGGTGCGGCAGGCGCTCGTCGTGGCGGCGGGCGGCCACGGTGCGGACCTTCGAGGCGGAACGCAGCCAGAAACAACAGAAATTTGTGGCGCTCCGCGCGGGTTTCTTCGATTCTCGCCTGGCCCCCCTATCGAAGAAGAAGAACAAGACAATAATATATTCAGCATGTGATAGTAATAAGAATAATAATGCGAAACAGACGAAGAATAATAATAATAACAAGCGGCATACGCATTAACGTTTGGCGCTCCTCGCGGGTTTCTTGGATGTTCGCCTGGGCCCCCCTGGGGCGGCGCCTCCGGCGCCGCTACTAGCGCGCTCCGCGCGCCAGGGAGGGCCCGCGCTCCGCGCAAATCCAAAAACCCGCGCTGAGCGCCAACAGTTTGAGTTTACGTATGTTGTTGTTTCTTCTTCTTGTCGAGACTGAACGCAGCCAGTGGCTAGAGATCGGCCGATATCGGGGGCAACGATAAGGGAGGTGATAGGCACAAGGGGGGGACGCATCGCCCCGCGATGGGGCAAGATCACAACCGGTCGGGTGAGTCCACAACCTGACGGGTGAGATCTCATCCGTCCAAAGCCCCAGGCACGGTCCGATCCCATCCCAGGGGAAAGCTTATACAGACAACGCATTCACACATTCTCCTTGATGTTTATTGCAATCTGACGCCTCATTGGAAACCTTAGAGAAGCAAGTTCACGCGTGAGCTTTAGTGGTCGGGAACTCGGCCGTCTTCTACTGGATCGACCTCGTGGCGCTGTGGGAACGAAGCCCGCGTCTGTCCGTCGAGAGCGCCACCCTTGTCGCATTCCAGGAATAACTCATGACCGTGTTGGTTTGCGCCCACGCGCGCGCGGAGTCCGCGTCGTCTGTGTTCGGGTTTGAGTTGGGCAGTTGGAGGCGAGGCCCTGGGGGCGCAAGCATCCTGCGAGTTTCTTCTGGATGGAAGACAAGGGGTGCGGCGGGGCCAGGTGGGGTCGCGCCGCGATGCGCGAGTTTGTCCGCGTCAAGATTCTGAGCCCAGGGCGCTGCGTGACAGGCTTCCACCTTGGACTGACCCGAGCCGCCATCTGGCTTAACGCAGGTGCTCGTGCTCTAACGTTCCAAGGGGCCCTCTTTGACTTCCCGCGCGCTGCAGGCGCCTCTCCTGCCGGATGCAGCTTGGCCGAATCGTTCGCGACAATACTAGCGCGCATATTGCGGCCGGCGTCGACGCAAACCTCCCCCTCTCTGGCCGCCTTTCGGGGCGGCCGGAGTGTAGGCTGAGGCGAAGCTGCCCTGGCCGCCCTTCGGGGCTAGGGGCTGCTCCCTGCAGAGACCGGCGGCGGCCCGCCGCGTACCAGTCGAAGATGAGATCCCTAAAAAAATCGGTGATAGTTTTGAATTCACAGTTTTGCAATACAACGTTCTTTCATTGATGCATCTTGACGATCGTATCCGCCGCTGTCTAGCAGAGGTCGGAGAGCAGCACTGGTACCTCATTGTACTCGTTGAGACCTGGAGAGAGGAGCCGAAGGAAGCTTGGGAGCTAGAAGAAGGCCACCATTGGTTTGGGAGTGGAGGGACGTTGCGCTCTTGCGGGGTCGGGCTTCTGCTACACCAACGATGGGAGCGCACGTGTTTCCACCAGTTTCAAACAGAGTGGCGACGCTGGACTTGTGCATAGCCGCTTCCGGTACCATCCGCACGGCGGCTGTCTGCATGCTGCACGCGAAGCTCCCTGAGGTAGACGCGGAGGCAGTAGATGCTCAAATGGTGGCTCAGGGCCGGGCAGCAAGCACAAAAGGATTCCACGTGATTTTCGCTGGATACTTCAACGCTGACATGGATCCATACACGAAATACGATGACAAAGAGGTCGTCGGTCAAAACCGTATGCCGCAGAGAAGCGACAGGGGCGCGACGCTGGTGAATGGGTCAGCTCTTCACGGCCACGCCATCGCTAACACATTCTACAGCGCTGCATTCGAGGACGCTGAGACCTTCGAGAATGCCGACCGCAAGTGTCAGTTCGATTGCATTCTCGCGTAGAAGAGAACAATGGCTATAGTGTTTTCCTGCGCTGTTTCCGCTGTTGTTGACGTGGATTGTGATCATCGGCCAGTTCGCTTGGATCTGACGCTGCCCGAAGAATCCCGGGCAGAACCAGACAGAAACATGCGTCATCATCGTTGGCCTTCTTGTCGTCATACATTGCGCTGCTAGAAGAACGGCTTCGCCATGTTGATTGGCATAACGCCGCGCCGCACGAACGAGTCTATTTGCTGAACAGAAGCATGCCTCTTGCCGCAAAAAATGACAACAGCAACGCTGAGAAGCGCCATGCTGACACCAACATGACCGATTTGGACAAGCAGATCCATTCCTTGATTGCCGAACGCCGCCGTCTGCAATAATCTGATCCCCCGGCTTTGATCAAGAAGGAGATCCTCAAAGACAGGGGCAAACGCATACAGAGTTTGACATGCCGGCGGCGCAATGAAACCACGCTCAGCAAGATCACGACGACTCTGGCCGACTTTAAAGGAATGAAGAACCTTGAGGGCATGCGGGCGAACCGCGAGCGCGACCACATGATTTCGATGAAGGGCCCGGGCGGCACGCTTCTGCACGAGCGCGAAGAGATCGCCGAGGTGTTTGCGATGTTATTCGGGAACCTCTGCGCGAGCACCAGACAAGGATGCAGAGAGCACGTCTACGGCATGCAACCTTGGCAATTTGATCCCCCCGGTCACGCAAGAGGAGCTCGCCGCAGCAACCCGAGACATGAAGAACGGCAAGACGGCGGACGACCAAGAGGTGCGAACAGAATTCTCCAAGGTAGACTCGTTGATCTTGCGAGAAATTTTCATTGAAATTTTCAACCAGTTGCGTAGCCCTACTGCTGACCTGCCAGCGGACTGGTTATCAGCCAGAATCTCCGCCATCTACAAGAAGGGGGACGCCTTGCTTCCGTCAAACTACAGGCCCATCGCGATCCTCGCCGTCCTGTACAAGTTGTTCAGTAGACTGATTTGCAGCAGAGGACGTGATCTGGGAGCAATCCGTTGACCAGGCGGCATATCGCCAAGGGTACAGCACCGCGGATCATTCGATGCGCAAAATGTTATTGCATGAGGCCACGAGGGTCTACAATGTCGATTTGTGGGTTCTCATGGTGGACTTCGAGAAGGCTTTCGACACAGTGGAACATTGCACTCTCTGATCAGCATTAGAGAAACAAAACGTCCTGCCAGAGTACGTTGACCTACTAAGACGGCTGTAAGCAGTGCAGTCGGCTTCCGTTGCTGCTGGAGTGCGAAGCCGCGCGTTCAGAACATCCCTGGGCATCGCGCAAGGCGGCCCGATCAGCTCGGTTCTCTGCCTGATCGTCATGGAGCAGATTATCTGGTCTCTCAAGAAGAGGTGGGGCAGCCTCAACGCCAGGCGACTAGGCGAATGCTACTTCATCGTTGTCGACGACGCTACGAACACCCTGAGCAATTTGAGGTTTGCCGAAGACGCGCTCCCGCTGTCCTCTAACAGGAGGGGTGTGGACCACATGATCGTGAACCTTGAGACCGAAGCGAAGAAGTACGGCCTGTAACTGCACATGGGCCAAAACCGCGGTTGAAACCAACTCAGCAACGAGGCGAGCAACCCCCCGATGCGCCGGGAACGACGCGCGAGCGTTGCAGCCTGGAATGGCGGATCAGCACCTCGGCCGCAAGTTCGCCATGGACGATTACCACGGGGCGGAGCTCAACAACCGCATCTCGCCTGCATGGGCATTCTCTTGCAACGAGAAGAGTAGACTATGCAATCGACGCGCACCCCTCCGCGATCGCACGGGGCGCTTTCATGCCGCCGCTGCGCCCTGCGCAGTGCATGGCTGTGCTGCTTGGACTTTGACAGTCGAGCAGGAGAGGCGCCTTTGCGCGGCGCAGGGAGAGATGCTGCGACACATGGTAGGTGCGGGGCGCCAGCCAGACGGGCAATGGGAGGAATGCGCGCGCAGGGCAACGGCGGCGCGCGACTCGCTCGCCAGGAGACATGGGGCCCAGGACTGAACAGACATCCTCTGGCAAAGCGAACGGTCGGCTGCCGTTCAACTTGCTGCAGTGCAAGATGAACGACGGGGCGCGCGACTGATGAAGTCGGCGCCGTGGTTTCGAGCGCACGCGCGTCGAAGCGTAGGGGCCCAGCGCAAGCGCCGGTGTTATTGACTATTGCCGGGCGCCGCCTGTTATGTCCCATGAGTTTCACACGCCGCGGAGTTTGTTTTTTTTTCCTTTCACGCCGCGCTGATTTATTTTCCGGCCCGGCGCGCTGCCGGGGAGGGGGGGCCGCGCCGCCCCCCTACGGGCCGCTGCTTTCTGCTCTCTGTTCTCTTCCCCGTCCCGGCGATCAGAGACGCCATTGGTGATATCTCGGCGCAGGCACTAATGGCTGCCAAGTCCATCGCCGACCAGCTTGGCACGGCTGGCATCAGGTGGGAAGAGGAAGATGGGGGTTTGCAAGTGGTCTTGCCAGGGAGGGCCATTCAGGTCATGGCATCATGTAGGGAGGTGGAACTGGCGCTCCAGCACGAATGTCGCGGCTTTGGTAGCCTCAAGGCGCAGCGGTGCGCTCGGTGCAGGACGCGATTCGGCTGCCGATAAGGGCCGCATGTATGCGACGCCAAGGGCTCGTCTTGCGAAGGCTGCCGAAGACGTTCCAGGAGGATCCCGAGGATTGAGAATGCCGGCGCCCTGGAAGGGAACCGTCGCGGAGTTGGGGTTCAGGCGCCAGTCGGATACGTCGAAAGCGGCTCTCAGCGGCTAGGAGTTCGCGCCGGGGCAAGTCCTCGGAGATGCTCCGCGGAGATGCTTTTGTTTAGGGCCAGGTCGCTCCCGCCAGGAGACTGGATGGACCCGCGAGCGATTGGCGACTTCTGGGAGGTGGGAAGATTGCATGCGCGCGCGTCGCCCGCCGACTGCCCGCGTGCATCTGGCTGCTTTTTGTGACATTGATTGGAGACCGGCTTCAGTCAGGCATGTTGCTACAGCGCAGGTCGAACAGGTGTGCCCCCGCGCTTGGTTTCCGCTAGCGATGAGCGAAC